GTTACGTATTCTTGCATGACTTCGAAGATAATTTTCATACTCAGGAAGATGATTTCGAGAAACTCCAGGCATAGATATACTGAAATTAGCATCATCTGTGAAATCAAATTGACGAATRTATGAGTCATGTTCATCTTCGACAATCATGTTGTGCATTATTACGCAAGCTCGTAATATTTCTCCGATTATTTCCTTGAACCACATCCGTGATGGACCTCTAACTATAGCAATCGTGATTGTAATACGCCAAACGCTCTTTCTATATCTTTCCTAGCTGATTCTTGTTTTTTTGCAAATTGCTGATGTTTTTGACTTTGGGGCAATGGGATGGATTTCACAAACGTAGCCCAGTTAGGGCAGATTCCATCTGCAAGGTAGTATGCTAAACTATAGTTGTTACTATTAACAGAGAAATTTACCTCTGGTGCTTTCCCTTCTAAGACCTCGTGGAAGATGGGAGATCGATATCTCGTTAGAAGGTGGAAAATTTAACTTCTTGCATGCTTAGGTTGAATTACGTGATCAAGAAAAATGAATCAGTCAACGAGAAAGACCTCTGAAGGTTGTTGATCTAGTAGAAGATAGGGGGTCAAAGAGGACAAAAAATGATGGCTCGGGCCAATATACCTCATCATCCTCAAATACAAACACGTCGACCCCCGAGCTAACGTCGACTGCTCGTCCAATGGGAAGGAAAGCTTCAAAGGATAAAGGTAAACAAAAATCTATATCAACTAACTCTATCGACCGTATCGAAGAGGCGATGAAAGAACAATTCAATCTTGATGCTGAAAAAATAGAAGCAATGAACAAATATACAGAAGCTATAAAAGAACGAGAGAGAAAGAAAGAGGAACGAGAGAGAAAGAAAGAAGAACGAAAGAAGATGAAAGATCAACTTAAAAAAGAAAAATTGGCAATCAGATTGATGGAAATGGATCCTTCAACTATGACAGACCAACAACGAAAATTGTACGATAAAAAAATCCGTCAACTTTTAGACGAATAAACATGTAATTTTATTTGTGTTGTTTTGTTAGTCGTGCATGTTTTATGTTAGTTATATGTAATTTTATATATTAGATTATAATTTTATGTAATTATAAAATTTAATGTTTAAAATAATTTAATTTATTATATAATTAATGTAATTAAAAATATATTAACATTATTAATTTATAAAATTAATTGTTTTGTATAAAAAATAGTTTATTTAAATAATTAAAAGAAGAAAAAGAAAATTGGAGGCAAGTGGGAGCCATGTGGCATTGCAAAGTGACTTGCAAATATTGAAACTCAAATCTCACGTGGCTTTCAATTTTCTGACACAACAGTGAATGCAACTCAAATTGAAACCCGCGTATGGATGGTCTAAGGCACTACAGATGGTATCGTGGTGAGATTTTTGTGGGGATCATGACGAGAATAACAAACAAAAATTAAAAATTACATTTTTAACTACAAATTTTACAACTTTTAATATTTAATGGCTTACTCATTTAGCATCAAGTGACAAGTGGTGTGTAAGGGACCAAAATGCAAAAAAGAAAAATTAATGGTTTGACCCAACCGACCTGACAGGCCGCCAACGGCTATCCTTGCGCACCGGCCGGTGCGTAAGGAGTCCACTGGTGCGTATAGGTCCCACCTTTTGACCCCTATTTTATTTTATTTTTCGCTTTTTATCCAATATGTATCAGGTTTTTCTTTCATATGAGATATATACGTTCTAATACAGTTTTTTATCCAATATATATCAGTTTTTTCTAATCTAGTTTTTATTAAAAAAAATATTTTCTCCAAATTCCCAATGATCAATGTCTATGGTTGAGAAAGTTAGAGTACATGTTTTTTGGTCGAGGTTCGTGACAGTTAGTCAACGACGTGGTAGATTATATTGTAGAAACACAAAAAGTTGTTGTATTATTGCCGATACACTTAATATTTCCAAGTTTGATCAATTATTTAGCTAAAAAATTAAGTTTTTACCTGGTTTTCAAAATCGTTTTAAGTAAACATATAAATCTCTGTCATCTTATTCGATTATTGAGTTATTTGACACCGATGATACGAGACATTTTTTGGCTATTTGTCTCGCCACAAGCCCTAAGATTGTATGTCTGCGATCGTGGTATTGAAAACAATCAATCAAACTCAAACCAAGAGATTGTTCCAGCCACTGTGTATGGGGCCGATCACCCTCAGTATATACTTCCACTCGTTTCATATGTGTCAAACCAATATCAGTCGAGTTACAGCCAAAATATACTTCCACTCATTCCATACCAATTGTTCCAAAGTGATGAGACAACTCCTAGTACTCCATATCATTCGCACCAAACACAATATCAACCGTTTCAAACCCTACTTGAAACATACAATCTCAGTATCACCCATTTCAAAGCTAGGGGACGTATGAAACTCCATGTCAATCGTACAACACTCCATATAAGTCATACGGAAATCGTTCGACGTACCAATACCAAGATATACCATCTGATTATTGCATTCGTATTTTTGAAATTTTTGGCAAAGAATATGAAGCCAATTTAGATAACACTGAAAATGCATCTGAGAAATATAAGGTTGATCTTGATCCTTATTATGAGTCTGTCTCGAGGGATTGTTTGTATCATCCCAATACAGATGAATATTTGGGGTTACAATTAGATAGTAGTGATAGCGAATCGGATACGGAAGATAAAGAAGGGGCGGAGGAGAAAGACAAAGAAGGTCTTGATAGGGGTAATATTAGTGCTCCGGTAGGTTGTAATTTATTTTGGGGTATGCCTCCCCCATTACCAACGTCAGTCCCTATTGTGAAGCCTAAAGAACCGTCCCCCAAATATCAACATTCTAAATGAGTGAAAGTTGGGGAAATTTTCAAGAGTAAAGAAGACTTGAAACTAGCCCTCGGACTGAAATGTCTTGGAGAGAGTTACCAGATGAAAACCACCCGCTCCACACGATCTAGGTTCGAAGCAATATGTATATTAGAAAAGTGTGAATGGAAAATAAGAGCAATCGTAATTGACGGTACGACGTTATATCATGTTCGTACATTTAAGGACTTACACACATGTTCACAAATCCAAGTGTATCTCAATCATGGTCAAGCAAACAAGAAGGTGTTGGGTCATATACTGAAAGATGCAATGAATGACACAAATAGAGTATACAAGAGCCATGACATTATCGTCGATATGAAGAACAACTACAAAATCTCATTTTGTTATATGAAAGCTTGGCATGCAAAGTGTTATGTCATTCTACTGCTAAGAAGTGACCTGGAGGAATCGCTTTCCTTACTCCCGGTATACTGCTACAATTTGGAAAAGACTAATCCAGGGATCGTAACGAAAATTGAGATGGATGAAAGGGCACGGTTTGAGTGTTTATTTGTTGCCATTGGTTTTGCTGTAAGAACATTTCCATTGGGTCTTTATTGAAATTATATGTATATATATACTCATTTTGTTTGTTCTTTTTCATTTTTTACAGATTCGATCATTTGTGAATCATTTACGACCGCTGATTGTAATAAACAATGCTCATTTGGAAGGTCGTTACTTAGGTACCATGTTTTTGGCGGTTGGCATGAACGAAAACAATCAAATTTTTGTTATTGCTTACGGGGTAGGCAAGACAGAGAGTAGGGAGTGCTAGACATGATTTTTTTATCCAGGTTGAAAGAATGCATCAGTGAGCCAGAAAATTTGTGCATCATATCTGATTGGGCTGCTTCCATCAACATGGCGATTAGATCTATATTTCCTACCGCGAATCACGAAATTTGTTGTCGACATCTGGAAATGAATTTACGATTTGGCTCGAAAAAAGATAAGTTGTTGGGAGAGATGTTTTGGAGGACCTACAAACCTTATACGGTAGAAGATTTTAAACAAATGTTAACCGAACTTCGTCAAGCTCTACCAGTCAGTGCAAGAAAAACACTTGACAGTGCTGACAAAATGAAATGTTCAAGAGCACATTTCACTGGAATGCATTACAATGTCATGACTTCCAATAGTGCGGAGTCCATAAACGCATTGTCAAGGTATGCACGATGCCTACCGATCTCGATGTTGATTGATTTTTTCCGCATCTCATTGCAAAAATGGTATTACAACTGTCGAGAAGTTGGAGGTAAATATATAAACAACTAGATATTTGTTTTACGTAAATGTTCTTAACCTTAATGAGTTATACATTGTGCAGTCTCACTTGAACAGGAGCTTACCCCTAGGGCGTAGGAAATCACACATGTCTTACCTTGGCATGTACACTTTGTGTGGAACACATTCATCCTTAGCCAATCATCCTCCACATTAGAAGTTGGAATAGAGGTTAAACTACTTTGCATAATTAAGGATTGCCCTTGAT